AACCTCAATTCTAGCCGGCCAACAAACATCAGAAGCTCTTATGATCTTGGTCTGATCGTCAACGGGAGGCAAACTTGACTCAAGCATCGAGGGAAGCATCCTTTCGCTACCAAGAACCCACGTTAAACAAAGAGAAGCTGAATTAATCTTCTCTTCATCTGTAATCGAGAGAGAGTGTGAGTGATTGTAAGGGTTTCGTACCAAGTGATCGAACCCATTTCTTAAAACAAGAAAATCAATCCCAACATCAATTTTTCGACTCTATAACTGGCTGTATACAAGCTAGAACTAGGTAATAGAAGCTAGAACTAAGGTAGAAGTAAAAATAACAAGTAGCGGTTAGAACTAACTTAGTAGCTAGAATTAACAATTGTAGCAGCTAGAACTAACTCGAGGGCTACTAGAACTACCACAATAGCATCTAGAAATAACATATCATTATGTATAACTATTATCAAATATAACTAACAACGATTTATAAAAACATGACTGTATCCTCATTTATAACAACGATTTATAACTACCGTCCCAGCTTACAACGATTTTTGGTAATTAAATATTTTTTCAGCCTATTTTGCTAATTAAGTTTTAAAAGTGGTCTATTTTAAAAATTTGTTCGAAATTAAAATACAAAAAGATTACGCACATTAGGTTTATTGCAAATTCAGCTTCCTCCAAAAAGGCGTGGATGTCTCGTGAAAGTGGAAAAATGGAGACAACTTTTGACTATTTTTTAAAATTAAATCGTTCATTTATTTGTAGCTGGTCAAATATTTTTTCTTTTTGTTTCTTTTCTTCTTCTAGCTAATGGATTAATGCTCTGTGTGTCTCGGCCTGGTGACTAAAAAAACATCCACAATAGAATCGGTCACAATTTACAAATACAGAAGCTCATAAGGATAAATCCATAGTCATGTGAGAAATTAAAAACGTAGATATATTGTCAACATGAACCCTCAATTGATCAAAGTCATCTCAAATAAAAAAAAAGAAAAAGTAATGTCCAAATCTCAACGGGCACAACAACATCATCATTTACGGTAAAGCAAATAAAAAAAAAGAAAAAGTAATGTCCAAATCTCAACGGGCACAACAACATCATCATTTACGGTAAAGATCAATCTAAAAAACCAACCTACTCTCGTAGCATCATCTTCTTAAATTCATCAAAGTATAAAACATCATCTCCATTAACATCATACATTCGGATCATCTCCCTGCACTCCTCAACAGTCTTCAATTGTTCGAGCTTTTCGAGTATTTTCTTCAAGCTCTGCGGCGGCGATCTACGGCGAGGGAGCGACGGCGATCTACGGCGACGAGGACGGGTGGAGGAGGGGAGGGGAGGCGGCGACGAACTCGAGGGGAGCCTTGGGGGCCTGAGCGGAGGCGGCAATGGAGAGGAGGGCGATGGCTAGGGTGATGAGCTTGAGAAAGCTCTTAGTTTTAGAGAGAGGAGAGAGAGAGAGAGAGAGAGAGAGAGAGAGGAGAGAGAGAGAGAGAGAGAGAGAGAGAGAGAGAGAGAGAGGAGATGAGAGAGAGAGAGGGGATATGAGTGCTGAGTCTGAGGGATTGAGGAGAGAGGATAAGGATAATTTGGGGATTTTAGCTTAGCTGACATGTAATAATTAATAATAAATGGCTGCAGTACAAAATGTCACACATCAATGGGCTGATTCACATGGGGAAAACTATGAGGGGCCTCCTCACATGAAGTTTCTTTTTTTGGGGCCTGTACACATTTTTCCCTAAAAAAAACAGAAATATAAAGTTCTAGTTCAACTATACAAACAAGAGCAGCGATTGAGTATGAAATTAAAACGAAACAAATACAGGTTACCATTTTACTAACTGCCGCGGATCCTAATGGTTGGGAGATTTTAATATGACATCCATGATCTTGGGTTCTATTTCAAGCTGGGTTATTAAAAATATATGTATAGGTTAACGTTTTACTGAGATTTTTCTTTACCTACTACAAGTATTTGGCAAGTATTAGATTAGTTTAATGTCAAAACAACATTCATAATGTCTTGAAATTTTTTTATATCTGTCCTCTGAATTTAACATATTATAAAATAAACTTGACAAAGCTCATATATTTTAAACTAGCATTACCGCATGCACAACCGATATTAATTAAAACCTAATTATTATATTTTTATATAAAAATGAACATTTTAATACCCTAAACTGTCATAGACATTTTAAGATCTTCTTTGTAATATTTTATTTTTTTAATAAACTATGATAATTTTTATTTAATATATGATATTTATCTTAGCTCACTTGGAATTGGTTATGACATATTTATATTGGAATATATTCAAAATCTAATGTATTTATTTACATGGAAAAGAGCTTTATTATTTCATATATATCCTTTTATAATATGCAAATTAATAAATATTTAATTCAAATATATGCTTTAGAAATATCTAGATATAAAGAAAGATAAAAGAAAAGAAAGAAAAAATTTATGCAAATTGACCCAATTGAAGAAAAGAATTTATGCAAATTGACCCAATTGTCCTTATTGCATTTGTGGGTGAATGACTAATTTCCCATGCCTTCATACTTTTCCTACCCTTACTAAGTTTTTAGTATGGGTGTATAGATGATTTGGAAAAAAATTTAGTGTTGCAAATTTTATCTACATGAATAATATTTATTTAAAATATATAGAAGAAATAAGAATGATGGAGGATAATTATATTTAAACAAGAAATGTAATATTAGAAGCCCATTTTTTAATTTTTAATAGAAAACATGTTTTAAATATTATATCTTTAAACCTTTTATTTATCGGTTTCATAAATTAATTACTAATTCATTAATTTTATATTTTTATAAATGATTTGTGTAAAATGGTTTTAGAGGGATGAAAGGCAATGAACGACAGAGTGGGAGGATAAGAACAAAAACGAAGAAAATTTTAAAATAACCCCAAACCAATTTTCTTTTAAAAAAATCGACCCTCTTACGTTTTTATTATAGAAATAGACTCATTTTCTGGCCACGTCAGCATCATGGCCAGAAAGTGGGTCTATTTTTTTAAATGCCTTCCTAATTAGCCGGGGTTGTCAACCCCGGCTAAGTTGGCTCGCAACCTCGACTAATTAGGAAAGCATTTAAAAAAATAGATCTACTTTTTGGCCACGGTGCTGACGTGGCCAGAAAGTCAGTCTATTTCTGTAGTAAAAACAAAGGAGTGTTTATTTTCAAAAAAAAAAAATAGTTTGAGGCTATTTTGAAAATTTCTTCGAACAAAAAATGTTAGGCGCGAGTAAGAGTGGGAGAATAAGGACAAAAGAGATTTGAAGGACACTTTAAATCTCCTGCAGCAACCATGTTGATTTTTTATATAGTAGTATAGATAATGTCCTAAATCTAAGTTGTTGTACCAAATTACTCTCCAACATTTGTCAACTTAATCCCTAGTTTTCACTAAATATTGTTCATTTCGCCTAACATGATCTCGTCTCTAAGGTCGTGTTTGGCTAATCTTTGAAACTAGGCCAGAATTGGTCCTGATCTAGTTTTTACTTGTGTGGTGATTCGCTAAAATAGGCCCAAAATAGTCCCCATTTTTTCAAGGCAAACAAAAATTAGCTTCAAAACCGGTTCTTTTTCAAAGGAAAATGTCATTTGGCACGTAAGATGGGCGCGCGGCCCATCTCGCATGCCACTTCAAAACCGGTTCTTTTTCAAAGGAAAATGTCATTTGGCACGTAAGAATTTCTTTTCCAAACACCCCCACTATGGAGCAAAACTGAACTAGTTTAAGAGAAAAGCGGGTCAGGATCAATCTTGAATCGGTCTTCATAGATTTTCCAAATAGACCCTAATTTTTTTTTCTATTGCTAATGCTCTCGTCTCCATTATAAAAATTGCAGGTTCTCCCCTAAGCCATTTTTAAATCCAACCGAATTCCCCTTTTCTCACATTCTTTTTTTCCCCCATCTCCTCTTTCTTATTATATACTCACCTTCTATACTTTGGTTGTCTTTGGTTGGGTCAGGGGAGAACTGACCATTATATGAAAGATGAGGGCACTAACAGCAAAGATGAGAGTAAAATTAGTAAAATAAAACATTGTTAAGTTACTTACGTGGGAGAGAGAGAAAAAAAATGCGACCCTTGACGGAACTTATTTTGAAATAGCAGAAGAACAATTTTTCAAAACCGACCGATTTTTTTTTTCAAAATCGACCGTTTTTTTTATTTATCAAAATCGACCCGGTTTTGTGATTAGCAGGTTAATCACTATCCTAAATAGTCGGGGTTGCCAACCCCGACTATTTAGGAGGGTGTTAAACCCTAATTAAAGGGTGATTAGCAGGCTAATCACTATCCTAAATAGTCGGGGTTGCCAACCCCGACTATTTAAGATAGTGATTAGCCTGCTAATCACAAAACCGAGTCGATTTTGATAAATAAAAAAAAACAGTCGATTTTGAAAAAAAAAAAATCAGCCGGTTTTGAAAAATTGTTCAATAGCAGAAACCACCCCCACCCCTAACATTGGACGATTATGGATGACCCCCTAACTTTCAAAATATCAAATAACCCCATAAATTCAAAGTTATTAGAAAACCCCATTGAGCTTTAAGATGTATAAGTACCCCTCTCCCCCCAAAAAATATGAACTACAGTTTTTACTAGAAAAATATCCCCTTGCATATTTACCCACATGTGAAAATTTTAGTTAATGCTGATGAGGGGTTTGCTGATAAAATTTTAAAATTAAATGAGATTTTCTAATAACACCCTTAAACTTAAAGTCCAGGGGTGCTTTTCGCTTATGTTAGATTCAATTTTCTCCGTCGTCTCGCGTGAAAGTTTCAGCCCAGTGGAAGCCCATGAGTAGGTACCGAGAAGTTTCACCACGTGCCACCCGCACGGTTCTTTTTCACTATCTGGGCTGTTCGGTAATTAATCCTTCGACCCAGGGGCTTTACAGTAAAAGCATCGGGAGCTAAAACAAAGAAAAGGGCCTGAAGCCTCAACTGAGCTCTAGGTTTCTTTAGCGTGCTCTCTCCTCGTCTCGTATTTCTGTGGCCAAGCAGCATCAGCTGCTCTCTGCTCTTCGAGGTAAAATTAGGGTTTCGTTTTCCTCGATTTTCAGTGATTTATCTTTATCTGACGAAAGATTCTCCGAAGATTCGAGTGTAGATTTGCTGGCTAGGGTTTAATTTCGTTCTTTCTGAAGTTTTTCTGTATTGGATCCGGAGTTATTGGATCTCTTGATTTTTAGAGATTTTGGAGCGAAGGATTCACTTGCTTTGGTTTGCTGGCGTTTTAGGGTTTTGTGTAATTTAACTAGGGTTTATGGTTTTGGTGATCTGAGGTCGATGTGTTAATGATGAACTCAACATGATACTGTTTCTTTTTTTTTTAATTTATAAGAAAAGATTGTAATCCCGAACTAGGAACAAGGAAAAGAATGGAATTAGGATGTTATTGGACGTGAAATTAGTTTTTATACAATTTTAGGTTGAAGCTGCCGATGCTTGTTTTCTCACTGGATTGGATCAGTGAGAATGGCTAGTACGAAGAACCCAATTGTGTACTTAGATGTGTCAATTAATGGTGGTGATCCAGGAAGACTGGCCTTTGAGGTACACCTTTCGTCAAGATTTAATTGGAATTTCTTATGCTGTCATTGCTATAAACAGGCTCGTACTCATTGCATTAATACCCTAAGCATCTTTTTCCTTGCAGCTTTTTGCTGATGTCGTTCCCAAGACTGCCGAAAACTTCCGAGCACTATGTACTGGTAACAATCATCTTCTCCTTGTTACAACTATTTTATGAATGCCACATTTATTTAGTATTATTATTTTCTCCAATATATACTTAAGAAATTCTCATACGTTCTTCCATGTGCCCAATTAACACCTATAAGTAATCATAGAGCCATGTTAGTCTTCGCCAATTTGATGACCGGTCTGGTTAACTTTTGTGAACATATATTTACTGAAGGATCATATTCACAATATAGACATTTGATAGTTGCAACATATTAGAACTTAAAGAACTATTCTTTCATTCAATTTCTATTTAATCTTTGTATTCTTGTGTGACTGGGTATAAATATTAATAATGCAGTGAATCTACATGCTTATTTTTATATCAATTTTGCATGGTAAAGTGGAGGAAATATTGATGGCAAGAGCATTTCAGGTCATGATAGATGCAAGTAATATGCGGAAAGAATGTAATAACCAACACATTATTTTATAACTTGTCATCTTTTATCTTGGAAAAAAAACTATTAAATAATTAAATCAAATACATGTTGCAGAATTTCCTGATTTATCTTTTCTTGCCGAAGCTTGTGCATTTGCCTCATTACAACTTGCAAGAAAAGCTTGGTTGAGAAAGGGTGGGGCCTTCTTAGGGCTAAAAATTTAGCTATACTGTATTTTAATTGCCTTGAAATTGGTGTCATAATATTATCACTCTATAAGTCAATGTAGAATGTTGTCGGAATTGCAATAGATTCATAAACTTTTTGTTAGATTGGAATTTTAGGCTTGTGGAAGTACTTGCTTGTGCTAGCGGAGTATTATAAACATGCTCAGGGTGTATTGCTGGCTGGGTAATCCATATTTTATTAATTCATTTAGTTGATTTTCTTCTGAATATTAAATTTTTTTGAAGCATTGCTTTTTGAAGATTTATTGCCTAGTAAATGAGGAAGATTGAGGTTGACATTTGGTATCATGTAGTCTATAAAAAATGTTTGAAGGATGTCAAGGAACCTAAAATAATGCATCTTGGTCTCTAAGCGGAAATATTAGGGGACGATTAATGCTGACATTATTGGTTTAGCTTACATTTCCAACACCTCTCTCTTGCATCTTCCCCTCTCTAAGTTAAACTTGTCTGATATGTTATTGTTCTAATAATTTTTATTATTTTCTCCTGTAAGATTTCCTTTGTCTTTTTTTTTCTCTTTGCATTACCTTGTACTTTAGGTTCTTAGTCTCTCGGAAGATTTTCCTTAAATTCGCTACATAAATCTTTTTTTCCCTCCTTTTATTGGGTTAGGTTTTCTTGCCTCTTTCAGTCAACTCTCCTGCCTGTTTTGCATTCTTAATAGTGTTTTTACATTCATCAGCTTGCATAACTGATTTATATACCATAGAGATATATTTAGAAATAATGTTGGTAAGTGAAGAATGATATGAGCTGATATTCATCAGGACTGTTGCATAACTGATTTATATATCATAGAGATATATTTAGAAATAATGTTGGTAAGTGAAGAATGATATGAGCCGATATTCATCAGGACTGTCTTACCAAGCTCCGAGGTTGATGTTCATGTAGATTCTGTGACTGATGAGATCGTAGGGATAATTGGGCCTTTAACATGTTGGAAAGGAGTTATAGGAGGTAGATACCTTTCGTATGCAGCTGCAGATTTTTATTGCTACAATGTTAAGCAGTAAAATCAAAAGTATTTGACAGGTCAGAAATCAAAATAAATGTTGCAAAGATAAAAATCTACTATTACATATTTGGTGGGATAGCACATAACACATCAATGTCCCAATCAAAATGGACTATGTAGAAATGGATGCGTGTGTGTGTGTGCGCACTTGTAAATCTAATGTGATATCTTCAAAAAGAAAATTGAGTATATATGCTGATAATTCTTTTACAAATATTGAAATTCTCACAACAAGCTATCTTATGGTCTACATGTAGTTTGATAGGCAAGTTTCCGAGGAACCGATGATAGCAGCATAGTCTACTATTGTGATAGTAAGTTGTCCAAAAAAATTATAAAGAAATACAAAAAAAGCTATTAATGGGTGGTCACATGTGACTAGGAGAAATGAGAACAATAAAGTCTAGCTAAGTTTGAAAATTGAATTGCAACCATCATCTTAAGGTAAAATTGGAAAATGATGAAAAATAGAGAAACTATGAAGAGATTAAGACAACCTATTTCGGTCAAGGGAAATATGGGAGTAAGAAGTGAGGAGAAAGGAGAAAGAGGGTGTGTTATGGCACCATTTCTAAAAAGGAAAGATGAGAATTAAAAAGCAAGTTAAAAGAAGAAAAAAGAAAGAAAATAAGAAAGCTAACTTTATTTGCTTCCATCAAGTGCATATCTGATGATCCATCACCAATGTTTGAAAAAGCCTCCGCATAGCCTGCATAGGTGTATGCCTGGGCCTAGGTAGTACCGGGCTCACTTGCCTAGTGCATAGCGCCTAGGCGGTACCTAGGCTGTCCATATAGGTTTTTGGAGCGCCTAGGGGAGGTGTGGACTGCTTACGTGAGCTGCACCCTTTAGGCATTGATCGTTTGTTGCAGCCTTCATGTCCTCCGATCTCCCCAAATTCTTTTAGGCTCCAACTATAGACATTTCTTCTACTTCCAACCTTTAGCAAAACATCTTTCACCATCATTTAAACGAAGAAAGAAATCCCTCTAGGTGCTAGTTCGGCACCTGTGCTTTGTATAACATTGGCATTTACTATCAATTATTGTAACTAATAAGTAACAATTAGGAAAAAGCCTACGCCGCACCTAGGTGTTAGGCGTCGGGTCAAACGCCTAGACCGTCTAGCGCTTTCTATAACCTTGTCCATCACCAAATGTTAAAAAGGTTCGGGTTTTTCTAAGCTGGCTTATTAGGAGGGATTAGGAAAATACAGAATTGAAGTGAGGCGGGTTTGGGTTTTGATCTAGAATATCATATGGATCTATGTATGTTCTTTCAAGGTTGCTGGTCGAAAAGGATTTAACCTAGCTGAGTAATATAATTGTGAGCTTGCAGAGTGATAGTATGTAGTGCATAACCTTCCTGTGCAGTTTCACAATTCACGGTGGCGCAAAATGCTTACTCTATGCAAGCAATAGATGGCACCTCTTTAGTTCTTGAAGCGTGGTCCCTACTTTGTCCCTACTTTAGTGAGTTGACACTAACCAATGCAGAATTTTCAGGATTGGATAAAGGTACACATGAAAATTGGATCAACCAGCTTCACCTAAAATTTTCATCTGGTCCGATCTGATTAGAAATACTTATCATTTTTTATTCCGGTGACCATTACTTATATATACTAGTATATGTTAATATCATTTATAAACTGGTGGCTTCGTCAATGCAATGCAGTTTTTGAGTGCAAGCCCCAGATCTGATTTTCTTTGCTGCATCAATATTTTCAGTAAGTTCAAAATTCTTGGAGTTCATTTAAAGTTTTATAACAATAAAAAACAATGAAATTGTAATTGGATATAATGTTTAGATTTCGGATCCAACTTGTTAGATGCTATAGTTTTGAGTCTTATGGTAAGCAAACTTCTCAAGCTTGACAAGCTGGCAATTGCGTTCGATGTGTCGGGTTCGAGTAGCCCAATCAGGTTTAGATCAATGTGCTTTAGCTGATATTTAATTGGGTTGGGTTTGGGTGCACCCATGTAGCTTAACCCTTGACCTGATCCAAATCCGTCTAGGCGAAGCTGTTGGTCACCCTTGGGCATATTCAGATTGTTATTACTTTCCAGCTTGGTTGTCCATCTTCATCTAGGAACTAATTATTAGTGCATTTGAGCTTAGCTGTCCAACTGAATCCAGAAACTGATAAGCTGTCCACCTGAATGGCTGAATCCAGGAACTAATTATTAGTGTGTTGGGGCTCTGGTTTTGGAAAGTTCTGGTAAGTCTTAACTATCTATAATGCAATATTATCTGTCATGTATAGTGATAGAATGAACTGTATTTTGGAAACTGTTGAATTGTTCAGTTTTAATACATCCCTGGAATCTTGTTGAGTGAATAGAGTTTCTTATTGGTAAAACACTTTGCAGTAAGATTATCTCATGTCTTCAACGGATACGTATATTTAAGTAGTCGTGTGGGTTAGTTCTGACCCACTCTTCTCTTATGGTCCATATTGTCTTTATTTGAAGATCTTGATGGCCTTAGTTTGCTTGTATCTAGGTTCTACTAGGCATGCGTGCCTTAGCCAAGACGAGCAATCTACATAATAAATTTAATATTTCCTAACCAAGGAGTGCTCATATCATGCATACACAATATAATTCGATTCAGATGAATACTGGAAACTGTGTTTGCGTGGAGGAGAGTGGAATGCAGTTGCAATGTTCAACACTACACATTAATCAGTACTATTGTAGGCATTTTTCATGCATAAGAAGATTGTAGATTGTTGTCAAGACTCAAGTAAGGCCTTTGATGAGATTGTTAGTTTTTATCTATATGGTTGGGTGAAGACCGATTTGCTTCTTGATCATTATCTTGTAAGTCAAACAATTGTTTCGAAAAGATAATGATTTGTAGTTCATCTTTTCAATTGTACGAGTAGCATTTCAGATATTTGTTGTGTTAAAGGTACATTTGAAACAGTTGCTCTAATTTGCATTGCAATTTTTATACTCTTTTCTTTTTAATAGTTTTCGTCAATGGTTCCATCTTATGTTTTTCCTTTCAGTTATCGCAGTTAGGTTTTGACGTACGTGGTACTGGTGTTCCTTTTGTGTAATGTTTAATAGACCAGAACAACTTTTTTTTATTTAAATTATTCTATTGCAGGTGAAATGGGAATTGGACGTACAACTGGGAAGCCCTTGCATTACAAGGGATCAGTTTTTCATCGCATAATGAAAGGGTTCATGGCTCAGGTATATTGTAATTCTCCTCCCGTTTTTGTGCATTGCAGTGGTTGAATGAATTGTCACCTTCGTGTAAATTTTAAGTAGCATGCACTAGATATGCCAGTCTCCATTCGTTAATCAGTTTGCCTTTTATGCTGGAGGATACAGGGCTGAGGCCACAGTTTTTTTTAGTTTTTTTTATTTAAGGTCTTTGTCTGATTTGCATATACATGTCCATTCTTGATGAGGATTCTGATTAATACGTTTTAATTTCTGCAGGGTGGTGACTTTTCAAGGCGAGATGGTGAGTCTCATATCTAGCTTGTTCATTTTTAATGTATTTTTGAGGCCAAAATAGCATGTATTTTCTGTTGGAACATGTGAGGCAATACTGTCAAAATTGTTTACAATTCTCTCGGATAACACTTTGTGTAGATGAGGTATTGGATTGGAATCAATTTGACTTTGTTACCTATGATTGGATCCTCTCTTTCAGATTTTGCATCATTCTATGATCTAGTTAAATAGGCCCTGCACATGCCAATAAATGAAAACTATATTTTAGATCTCACAGCTACATAACATTTCTTTGTCATTCAGTGACAGATTTATTTATAGATGTTTGTATGTCACGACATTCCTCTAAGCCCATGTGGATATCTGTTTGTTGGAATTTGCCTTTATTGGTGGTCCATGATATATCATCTTTGCCATCTATTGTCGAAAAACTTAAGGTTTTCTAGATTTCTCAGCACTTTTCAGCTTTTAGATTCCAACTCTTGAGGCAATTTTTATTTGCATCAGGTGACTCTGAAGTGGATACTTGTCTATGGAAGGACGTGTTGTAACATTTGAGTGTCTGTGTAAAAGTCATCATATGTTAGAATTTTAATTTTGAATATTCTTTTTAATAACTTCAGGTACAGGTGGAGAGAGTATATATGGTGGAAAATTCCCGGGTGAGTTCATATCTTCTTAAGTTTTATGTTCTGTAAATTTATCTTATATGTACTGAATGCCTAGATTATTGCATCATCTGAGGAGTTGTGTTCAAAAGAGTGAAAGACTGCCAATCTTTTATGATTAAGATCAAGATATTTGTTAATGTTTTTGATTACTGGTTTATGTGTTTTCTTTCCGTTTCTTTTTATTCTTTTTGCATTTTTGCTTGTGCATCTGCCAGGGTGTTATATTTAAGTAAATTTGTAACATACTATTTGATGTATAATTTGTTTGGGAAGTGAGCCTATTGCTTGTGTATTTTCTAGGAGATAGTTTTTTCTAAGTTGATGTAAAGAAGATTTTCCTTCACATAAGAAATTATTTTTCCCATGTCAAACTGAAGTATTAGCAACTAAAGTTTTATACCATAGACATGCTTATGTCCCCCATATAGACATCCTTATGTCCCCCACGATGCATGTGGTTTTAATCGTTCCTGAGCTAAACCTGGGTACCTTAATTCCATGAGATCATCAACTGCAGCAATTCTTTTGGAGGAGTGTAACTCTATGCAGAGGGGAAATGGTCTTCCTATAACATATTATGACCTCGGATGGTAAATTTTCATGCCAATCATTGTGACAGATGAATATAAACTTTACATCCTATACCCGTAGCTCTTAAGAAAAATTCATGCCCATGCCTGTGTCGTATCACACTGCTCTGCTTTTTTCACATCCTGTAACTGTAGCTCTTAAAAAAAATTCTATTCACTTGGTTGCTTATCTTAGTTGCTCAGAACACAAGCTGCATGGGGGAACGGACACTGCTTTGCAGCCTTTGCTATATAATTTCATACATACCAAACATGTGTGTGTGTGTGTGTGTGTGTTACCGTAGTCCAAGGGCCAAGTTAGCGCTAATCATAATATCTGAAATGCGGGATACGTCATGTTTTCTGATATCTCTTGTCTATGTGAGCTTTGCGTAAAATTTATATTGTTCAATTTGGTTGTTGGACTTCTGTAATAAACAAGCATCTTCTTTTCACTTTAAAGTGATGCACTTGATCACATTTTTCTGCAGTATTATAACTTTTCATTATACTTCAAACAACTGATTAATGACAGATAGACTTTTGTTGTATTGTTATAGCGGAAATTCTACTTCATATATCTTCAAGTTCTAGCTCCTCTTCTTTACCTTTGTCGGTACTTGGAAGAACTAGTCTTACGGATGACTCTTTATACCAACATTAATTTTCTTGCTAAAAAAATTGATATTAAAGTGTTCTTATGATAATTGACCATTTGACCTCAAAACCAGTAAGAGTTGGGTTTTAAAAGCAGATTCTTGAAGTGCTAATGGTCGAATCAGAAGAGTTAGGACAGTTAGATTGTAATGGCTTCTTATATTTGGACATTTGGACTTGCTTAGATTGAGTGCTGTTTGGTTGGATTTGTATGCAATCCTTTATATAGTATTTCTTGATGTAGATACAAAACATGGTCACCTTTTTATTTCCAAGGTAAATGCATCATTCCCTTTGCAATATTCACTATGAATGGATTACAATTTAATGAATGAATTACAGTTTAACCCTTAGTAGGATAGTGGGGAACTGCAAACATCTCCATTTCTTGAATTAAATCTGGTAATACTTCAACCGGACAGTTACAATCACAGATTCCTCTTGCTGTTCAATGTCTCTCAGAGAACAAGCGAAAAAAAAGAAAAAAGAATCTGTTTTCTTTTTTTGAAACATTTCATCATTAATGCGCAGTCCTATTTATTCCTCTTTGAAATAAGAATAATGCATTGTCCAGTTATTTCTTTCTTATGGAAAAAGGAATCAAAACTAAGTTAATATACCTTTTCTGTAACATAATCTATTGTAGGTGGATATTTTGAGGGTCTGAAATAATTTGATCTATACACTTAACTGGACTCTAATGATACCAAAGGTTAGTTAATGGCATTTAAACATATGTTTTTTTCCTCATGGTGTTGGGTGATGTTGTCTCTTGTTGAAGTATTTTTATCATTTCAGTATTCATATTGTCTTCTCTTTTTCTGTTTATTGTTCATTACTCTCTGCCTTATTCTTAGCCTTATGGCTACTGGCATTTTTTTTCCTGTTGTATTCATTTTGAATCTAGACAACACCAAATGTAATATCGAACTGTAAATGGTATATTCACTAGCCAGAATTAAAAAATTTGACATTTTGCATTGGTAAAATTTAAGGTCTGGCTTAATTAGGAACTGTGAACTGATTGTATTTTATAAGCAAGTAACCATTGCTTGCCGTGATGTTCAGTGATTGTTTTCTGTAATAATGTACCCGGTACAAGTAAGGTAAACATTCTAGATAACTGTTTTTTTTTATTGTTTCAGATGAAAATTTCAAGCTACACCATGATGGTCCTGGTCTTTTGTCAATGGCGAATGCTGGTCCTGATGGCAATGGTTCTCAATTCTTTATTACCTTTAAAGCTGCTCCTCACCTTGACGGGTTAGTTTTAGGATCTATCCTCGTGTTGCAATTAGATTATCTAAAAAGAAATAGTTAAAAGAAAAGATTTGAACTTTCTAAATTTGTAAGTTAACTATAAATTTTCTATTCATAGATGTATGGAATATTGTGCAAAGTTACTTGCATGTTCCTAATAGGCATCAACCAATTTAAATGGGTGATCATATCACCCGAGTCTCAAGTGTTTGGACCCAATATTACCATTGTATTTAGAGTTCGCTGCAAGGAAAATTGCTGTGGCAATTTGGGTAGAATGCAATGAACTCTTGGTTGACCTATTTGCTACCCATTGCATACTTTGCTTCCTATTGATATAGTATGCTTTTCTTCCAAGGGTGCTATTGTACTTTCGTATGAGAGTCCACCCTGGGAGTCCCCCATAACTGCATAGGATTCTGTGTTAAAATTTTGCCACTAGATATGGGTTTTATGTGAATTGTTCCCATTTGTTCAACAAGTATGCCTTTAATTTTTTTTTTTCACAGGAAGCATGTTGTTTTTGGAAAGCTTATCCTTGGACAGAACACTTTAAAGAGGATCGAACGGGTTGAAGTTGATAACACCAAACCTATTGTTCCCGTCAAAATTGTTGATTGTGGTGAACTTCATCATACGAAACATCATAGTACCATGGAACCTGTACATGAAAATGGTAACTTGCTTGAGTTCAGCTGTTTTAAAAAAAATCCTGTGATATGTTGTCTTTTGAAACTTGTTATATCTGATTTAAAGTTTAACTGCTCTCTTATATGTTCAGATTTAAAACTTAACTGCTTTCTTATATGTGCAGATAAGAAAAAATCCAGTAAATCAAAATCCGGAAAAGATATATGTTCCGATACAGATGGTCATGAAACACGACGAAGAGGACATCATAAGAAATCTTCTAAAAGCCGAAGGAAAAAGAAGCGAAGAAGATACTATTCATCTGAATCAGATAGCTCATCAGATACAGAATCTGAATCATCAGACACTGATAGTGATTCTGATTCATATTCATCGTCATCATCGTCTGATCTCAGTAGCTCTAGTGACGATAGGCATAGGCGGAGAAAGAAGTATTCCAAGAGGGATAAATACAAGCGTGGAAAAAGAAAGAGGGATAGGAGGCGGGAGAAAAGACGTAGAAGGCGTGATAGAAAATCGAGACGCAAATCGAAGAGGTATAAAATTTTAATTACTTGGGATGCTAGATTTTGTTCATATTAAGTAAGCTCACGAAATGTTTATATGCATAAGAATTTGTTTCATTCCGCTCCTTCATTTTCAAATGCACTGTTGCCTACTATAACTCTATTGCTTGTAGAAATTAGTATTTTCTATTTGCAAATATGGATTTGTGAGCAAAGGAAGTTGCCAATGCACATGCAGTTCTGTCTATGTTTAGCTCTGAATTTCACAGGTCTATGCGTGTACCACTGTGGGCATATTTATGCTTCTCGATTATATTCCATCACTTGCATAACCAGCACTTGCTTTGTTATTAGAAACTAACAAAAAACTGAAAATCTGATGGTCCAATTGATTTTATTGAGCCAATACTGCTCCAAGTTCTTTTAACATGATTGTTTTTTCATTGCCTCTGTGCAAAAATTTTGTGTATGTGTGTTATTGATTTTTTCTGTGGTAACTGAGAAAATTTCCCCCCTTATACAAGGACGGTGGAGAGTGATACTGATGATTCAAGAGAGAGCAACTCTGATGACGACGACGGCAAACGTCGCAAACGGAAGTCTAAGAATCAAGCTTTGGGTATGTGTCGGAGGTTTCCTTTGACTCTAAGCTATTTTTATTTGTACATACTTTTGTGCAATAACAAATGACACACTCAACTGGAATTTATAAATTGGTCTTAGTTGCTGCTAGGTTACCTGGTCCTCTTGTTGCCTTATTTTGTCTATTCATTTTTTATGCTCTTTTAATTGATTTATGTTGTTGTTGTCTCTTTAGTAGTATATCAGTAATAGTTGCACATTATTTATGATCAGTGGGACTTTTTTGTTCTCTGCGCAATATGAATATTAGTTTGATTTATTCTTCTGATGGAACACCAAACTTTCTTGGTCTGTCTTCTCAGTATGCTTGTGAAGTTTTTCTGTATAATGCCTTCTGAAAATTTCATATTAAAATTTCCAGCAAATAATATTCTTCATCTAGGTTCTTCAATATGATCCCAAAATTCTTGAGCTCTATCATGGTTATGGAAAGATAATTAAGCTGTCTTATTAGTGATTGCAAAATTAAGCTTTTGGAAAGTGTTATTTTCTTTTGTTGAATAAATGCATACCTATTGTTTATTCATATCCTGCGTACTGACTTTTTTATTGAACATTTTTTAATATTTCACCAATAAATTATGTTGCTACTCATTTTTAATATACTAGTATAGTGCACGTGCCTTGCACGTTGACGTACTTGTTTTATCTTTCAAATATTTTTTTAATGTAATTTGTTATAATTTATTGTAAATTTGATTTTGGGAATAAAACTTTGATGACTTGCTTTTAATTTTCTCATCATTAAAATATAAATTTCAATGAGGTTCATTATGAAGTTTATCGGCATTAATTACTAAACTTACAGGATTCTAGTGCTCTAATTTTAAATTTATGAATCTGTAGGGTCCTTTATGCAAAAAATTCAGATTTATTCTATAAAATTATGAAAAATAAGGGTTTTTGGCACAAATATCAGGGTTTGCTTATAAATTCTACAAATTTATGATGTTTTTGTAAAACTTGACACTTCAGTATAAATTTATAATTTTTGCAATACCTAGAAGGTATGTCTATATTTTAAAACCTCTTAAAAAGCCTAAAGACATACTTGCATTTAGTTTATAATTTAAGATGATGTATGACATTAAGAAAATTTTTAGCTGGGATCTTATATGCAAATTTGCAATATAATATAACATTTTGGAATGGTAAATAAAATACTTACGGTGAAATATATTTTCACATATTTTTGTATAAATATGCAAATTTTGTGAGCTCCAGGTTTTTTTTGCAAAATGCACAACTTTGGGAAGTATTTTGGGTTTTTTGAAACGTCATTTTCATTCTTCATTTTCTATGTACATTTTCTAGAAATTAAAACCAGTGATCATAAAGAAATCAACTCTTCAAACTTGTAGAAAAGACCTAACAGAGAAACAAAATAAGAAAGAAAAATCACACAATATTAGTTATTAACAAGAAAGATTTATAGTTGACAAAAATCAAACGAACAATAAAGATTTATGGAAATACAAATCGGTAATTGGAGTACGAGGAGGGGATTCGGACACCTAAAAAATCAAACAAAACAAATAAATTTTCATTACCATCGAAAGGGAAAAACATCGTAAATTAAAGTATAACAGAAACAAATTGCTCTTTATCCTTCTTATTCATCTTTATACCCAAAAGATATACATGACATTTTTTATAAGAGAGTTAAAAGAGGTTGAAGGTGATGGACATTAGGAAGATCGATCAATAAGTAGATAATCAATGTGAGGGTATTAGTGAGAATTAGTGGAGGAAGGTTATCAGTGGGTGGAGGTTGTGAGTGCGTTGTTAAATGAAAAATTGATGGCAATTAGTGGGGAGGTTGTGAAAATTGAGAATGTATGTATGAAGGGATATGGCTTATGTATGTTTTATGTTCGCATGCATGTGTTTTATGTATGCATGTGTGTGTTTTGGAGGGTATTTTCAGAAGAGAACTTTTTAACATCCAACACTCTATTGTAATAGTATAAGATTATGCTAGTTGAAACATGGTGTACTGGTGATCCTTGTTTGGTACTAATATGACATTTTTGGAGTAAAGAAATGGATAGGGGACCATATGACTGAAATATGTGTCTGTGCACACTCTTTTGCATGTACATGGTGCATATGTGCATGTGTGCCACCTGCATCTTTGTTGAAGGATCATTTATTATGAAAAATTGAGGATTATTCAGACAATATGCTAATCATCTCATCCTAACTGAGACCTATCTGTGACCATGTCTAAGGCCATGCCTTACAGAAACGTTAATCTTCTCAGGGGTACCAAATCCATATTCTATGAACTAAATTGAGTTGCTAGCAGCGACCTGAGGGGTTGGTTTGTTCAATGATGATAATCTTATGCACCATATTTCTTTCAAATTAAAAAAACTAAACATACTATATTTGTTATGCATAGTCTAGTGAGCCTTATCATTCGAGATATCATTCTAGATCTACTTGATACCTAACTGCGGATTGTCAGTGGTTGGTGAAATCTCTCAGCAACTTAATTCTTTCTTTCTTTTTTGTTTCATTTTGTAAACATGGAGAGTACCAAATATCCTGCCTAATTGATCCTAAATTACCTGTATTTTGTTGAACCCCTATCTTCAAATGCTGTCAATATAATCGCTATGTTATCAGTGATGTGATTATGATTGCATCTGTACATTTTAGATACTACATGAGTCTTAACAACAATGACCTGCTAGAGTTTCAGATGTGTCTTGTCTACAAACTCACTTAAATGTGTATAATAGTGGTGATCTGTAAGCTCGTGCTGTATGTGCTGCCCACCCTCACACCCTTTGCTCTTCTATTTTGTAGCATATAAGAAGAGTGGCAGGAATCCTGGGTCCCCTGACATTGCATCCTAGGACCTATCTTCTACATGTTGGTAGTGTAAAAAATATGAGATATTCAGAATATGAAGAGAGGAAGTTGTGGACTTCAGCATCTTTTTCCATAGTGCTATTAATGGTAGTTTGCAGGCATCACTGGCTCCTTAACATGGCCTGAGAGTGACAATGGGCATTCTAGAGTAGAGGTAGGAAATAGCTCAAGGTTTATATTGACAACAGATTGGTTTGAATTATGTTTCGGATTTACCAGTCACCTGACCTAAACAGAACTCAGATTGCAATATGGAAATTACGTAGGGTAGGAGTTGGATATAGTCATATGCTTAGTGGTTGGTAATAACCAGGTAACCCACCTAAAACAAACCCAATCATTAAATGATGCCCCTTATTTTTCTGCGTAGGGGATTCTTTTTTATCAATTCTTGGCTTTTTTAAAGATGTACTACTACCAGTAAGGCTTTAAACCTCCTGCCTCATGACTTATGGTTCAAGCAATTTAGACGGCCAAGAAACTGCCATGGAATCTAGTTAAAGGAGATGGCATATGAGAGAAATAATGGAAATTTTGTTTCAATGTTTTGATCCTTATTATTTGGTGAAATAATCTGAACCCCAATTGGAGACCAGTGGATAAGCCTATACTTCAAATTGATAACCCTTGAAAGTGAACTAAGCTGACTGAATTCTAGCCTTTAGTGATTGTTCGTTTAGCTTTTGGCCAAATTTTAAAGTGTTAGTTGTATTTCAGGTTGATCTAATTGTTGCTCTTTTGTTTTCTATATTTTACATACTCTACCTTTTAACCATCTCGATCCCTTTTATCGTCATACACAACTAGCTGGGAATGTGCGAATTTTTTATTCATGTTTTCATTTAATATTTCATAACTTAATTGTCTTTCCTCGATAGGAATTATGTACGGTTATTAGTATGACTTAATCTTCTGGACCGAGTCTTAATTTGATTCACAAGCAAATTTACAACTTTTATCGAGTGTTTTGAGGCTGTTTGTTTTCTTTTCTTTTCTTTGTGATACTGCTTTTGCATAAAGCTAGCATGAACAAGGCCTCTATGATCTGTTTATTGACATGGTTGGATTGTATGCTCTTGGTGGCCTTTCTGGGGCAAAGTTTCTTATGAAATATTCTATGCAAGCAATTGCCATCACACTGCTTGATCATACATCTTGTTCTATTTGTCATACTTCATTTTTCTTCATAGGAATATGAATGTCACAGTCACCTTCCCAGGCGAACCTGTTCTGGTCTTGATGAACATTGCCTAGTTGACGGCACTCCTTGTCGACATGTTACAGTCTATTTGTAGTTCCGCCAATATCTATTTTAGGAGGGTCTTGATGAACATTGGCGTAGTTGACGGCACTCCTTGTCGACATGTTACAGTCTATTTTTAGTTTCGTCAATATCTATTTTAGGAGATAACTGATGCAAGTTACTTTGCCTTGCAGATGAAGTTCAACCTCCGCTGCCTTTGGATAAGGGAGTTTCTGACAATTTGCCTAGCAATGATGATAAGGTGGACGAGCTTGTTGGAGGAGCTAAATCTTCAAGAGAAAATGGAGAGATGCGGAGCAATGGCATCAACGAAGAAAAATCTGATAGAAATGCAGATTTGCCACTTCCCATAGATATACCAAGAAAATCTAGGTCCTTTTATTCACCTCACAATTCATTGTTTCTGCTTACCGCTTCTTCCAGAATCGGTATTTTATCTGACATTGATGAGCAGGAGCCAAAGCGTGAGTTCTAATCGGTCCATGAGCAAGAGTATGAGTATAAGTCCGAGAAGAAGCCAAGGCAAGAGCCCAAATGTAAGTCCCCAAAGGCCCATCAGCCGGAGTCCTGTTCGGCGAAGTCTTAGTAGAAGCCCAGTTCATGTTTCTAGAGGCACCAGTCGGGGCAGAAGTCCAACCAGAAAGAGCGTCAGCAGAAGTTCAGGTAGTGGGAGCATGAGTAGAAGCCCGGTCAGAAGCATTAGCAAAAGTCCAGTCATAACAAAGCGGAGAAGTGTAAGTACAAGCCCAGTAGGTCGTCCAAGAAGCATAAGCAGAAATTCGGCTAGATCCCTGCCACGACGAAGTCCAGGTATGAGCTCAGGAAGGGTACCTTCAAGGAGAAGCATAAGCCGAAGCCCTGTGAGGAATAAAAGGAGGAGCTTGAGCAGGAGTTCTGCTAGGTCTCTGCCGAGGAGAAGCATTAGCAGGAGCCCTGTGAGGTCTTTCCGGAGAAGATCACCAAGCAGAAGTCCTGTAAGGGATGCTCGTAGAAGTCTTAGCAGAAGCCCAGTCAGGTCATCACGAAGAAGCGCAAGTAGAAGCCCTGTGCGTAGACGTACACGAAGAAGCATCAGCAGAAGTCCAGTGAGTCGGCGTGCACTATCTCCACCCTCTAATCGGGGCAGGAGTTTTTCAAGAAGTGCTTCTCCGGATGGGTCACCCAAGCGCATCCAAAGGGGCCGAGGCTTTAGTGAGAAGTATTCTTATGCAAGAAGATATCGGACACGCTCTCCAGACCGTTCTCCTATAAGGTCACATCGTTACGGTGGAAGAACTGATCGTGATAGGTAATTAAAATGTTGACACATGGAGCTTTGACTTTTTGTAATGCTGTTTGGCATTATATTATTATTTTCCGTATTTCTTTCTTTGCCAGATATTCAAGCTATAGAAGATATCATGAAAGATCTCCTCCTAGGCGGTACAGGAGCCCTCCAAGAGGCAGGACTCCTCCTAGCAGGTATCTTTCGTTGCATTGTTCTCCTCGGGCAATAGATGTCACTTTAGTGTCTCTTCCTGTTATCTTTCATATTTTTTTATTTAGTTAGTATTACTTTTTACTATAATGTGATACACATTGAGAACATATTGTACTGTTTCCTATGGTTCTCCACCTCTACTTAGTATTTCAGTATGTACAAGATCCACTTATATTTGTAACGATATAACAGACCATTAGTTCTTTCACTACTTAAACTTTTTGTAGAGGCTGCTTCTTTATTGGGTGTAGGTTTCCCAAGTATTTGTCAAATAATGATATCTTTATGTAGTTAATAAAGTTCAGAACTTCAGAGTTAATTGCGTTATTCAGTTATGTTGTTGCGGGTCAACCCCCTAAATGAACTTTTCTTGACCCTTTTACCCTTAAGAGAGAGAATACTGTTTTTTTGACCAAATAGACCTCTTGAGGATAAAAGACTCAAAGAAAATTTACTCAGGGGATATATCTGCAATTGGACGTTTGTAGTGGGTCTATCTGCACCGGTAGAATTTCAAGGGGTCTATCAACAATTGGGTGATAGTACATGGGGGTCTATTCACAATATAGACTAAAGTTAGTTATCACATGGTTAGCTTACCTTGTGATTGGTCTATCATTTGATAAAACAATTGTAACTTTTGAACATTTACAATATCTTACAAAAAGATGTAAAATAATTATCTTACAGTGGAGGAATAATTATTAGTCACATTATTTGAGCTTTTCATTTTTTGGCTTTAATTATTATTGTTATTAGGGTAATTATTATGAAACCCACTTCAATTTTGATCACTTATTATGAAACTCCCAAGTGGTCTTTTTATTATATAAGCCCATGCCGTCAATTTAATGGTTGAGTTCTCTTAGAAGGGCATGTGCAAATACATGTACTTTATTCCATAAAATACACTCTTATTCTTCTTCTTAACAAAATTTTCTTCTCTTCTTTCAATTTATAAGAATCTAGGATTGAATCTACTTCCAACTCATTTCAATTTGCAAGGATCTAGGCTGGGATCTACTTTCAATCATTATGTCCAAGTGGGGGGTATGGAGAGATTACCTGGAACTTTGAACAATTGAGTATTTAGATAATTTGGTTCTTGTTTTTGGTTTGATGTAAAGGAAGGGGATTAGGAATTTCATTAAACTCTGAGGAAGATTGTTGAGGGGCATTTGAAGGAAATGAAGCATGCACATATCATTTTCTAACCAACTTAACAGCAAAATTGATAACAGTAGAAGGTTTCTTCATAAATGGCCAACATTGGAGGGGTTTTCATATTAAGTACTGCGTCTTATTGCAATACGCAATGTGAAGTTTCTCTGTCCTATGATTATGCTCACCCTGGAATTTCAGACCACTTATATTTGTGTGATATAATGGACTGTTGGTTGTTTCACTACTTTTACTTTTTCCCTTAGTTCGGCTACTTCTTATCAGGTAACAGGTCACCAGAAAAGAAACACAATTGTCCATTGCAAATAACCTGGACTTCATCTGACTCCTTGCTTTTGTAGTGTGGTCTAGTTGCGTTGTTATTCTGACTTTCCATAATTTGTTGGGCGTGTTAATAAAATCCATACCATCCAAGTCAAATATTTTAGATCTGATGGAGTTTCTGGACGTTCTGCTTTTACTTGATCTTTAAGTTGTTCTCTTCTTAAGCCCATTTTTTACATTGTTTGCCTTTCTTCGGTCTTTGTTTCTTGTGATTTAGTCAAGGTATAGTAGGACAATTTGCTAATATAACAGAACTTGTGACTCTGTGCTATGTACTTATATGCTCTCTTTTGGCCTCCTAGATGCTTTAAACTTTAAACTTCTAATAGTGGGCTGCTACCAATACTGCTTTATCCAATGAAGTTTTTCTTTAGGGTAAATTTGAGTCCTATTCACAAGATATAGTGACACGACGAAGGCAACTTAGCGGTTTTTATTGCATAAGAGTGCCCTTGTATCGAAAGTGCATGATGCATCCCTGAAGTTGACACAATTTATCGTGATATCAACATTTTAGGTTATCAAGTACAATATTCTTTCATTGTCATCGTTATTTGTTTCGTGACAAGTGGTGGAAACATTGGTCATCATTCTTAGGTAGAACTTCCAAAACATGATTCTATTAATGAACTTTCATTTATTATGCTTAACCTTTTACTAATATCTTTTTTACTATGTGAATCATTAGTATCCTCCAAGGTAAAAGGACTGTTCTTGACCATTTAGTGTGCAACCATACGAAATGGAGCTCATTTTATTGATCATTTACTTTGAATCAGAGCTGATTTATATATGTATGAAGATATTGATGAAAAATCTCTTCCACAGCTTCAATCAGAACCTGGAAGATATTAGCTCAATGTATTCAACCATTTACTGGGAATTCAAATTGATTTAGTTTGGTCGGGAATAATAAAGTTTCCAGTCAGCTTGAATTTTGACCTGGAGGTTATTGGGATCTTCGTTGTGGAACTAAACATAGATCTTTGCCAGAATAAAATCAAAAGCTCTTAAATCATCAGTCACATGTTTTCATTTTTGTGCAACGTGCATGTTGGATAGATAGTATTGCTCAGTAAATTAATATCTTCAAGTGGTATTCTCCGCAGGTACAGAAGCAGGAGAAGTCACACCCGAAGCATTTCGCGCAGCCCAGTAGGTTACCGTGGCCGGCGTAGTCCACTTCGCCTTCGCTCAGAGAGACGTCGGTCTATTTCCATTAGCAGGAGCCCATCTGGCTCCCGCTCGCGATCTAGGTCAAAGTCAAGATCAAAGTCTAGGTCTAAGTCAACTCCTAATTCTCCCTCTCCGAAGCATGTAAGTGAGGAGAAGTCGAGGTCGAGATCACCATCCAGCAGCTCTGATGGAAAGAAGGGGTTGGTTTCTTATGGTGACGCTTCCCCTGATTCTGCTGGGGGGAAGTAAAATGTTTTATGAGATACTGAGTTGTCTTTTAGGTTTTGTTGAGTTTGTTGATCTGGATTCTACCTTGTTTGTCTTAGTTTTATTCTTCTTGGACCTTTATGTACCCTATAACGCGTCTCAATGTTATTTGAGCTTGCCGCTGGTACTGGGTAGCAATTGGTTGCCGGAAACTTGAATTTTGTTTTCCAGTTGGCTATCGTACTTTAGCCCTGCTGTTAGGGAAACTTTCTTGTATTTCATGTTGGAGCTGATTATTACTTTTATGTGGAATTTCGGGCATTAGTTTATGTGTAATTGTTTCTACTTCCGATCATTTATGCCTGTTTTCTTGTATTAGTTGTCAGGCTTGTCGCGTTCAAATTGCAAAATTTTAAGCATTAACGCAATGCTCTCATTCTCGCTCTCTTTCTCTCTTGTTTAGAAAACCCTATCCGATCACTGAAAGGAATAATTGAGTTTATGCTTGTTTTCATTGTTTTGAAAGCGTTACTTTTTAGGAACAATTTCGATACTGAATAATTTTGAATATCGAACACGTCTCTCATCCACAATTTTATGATAAAGGAACATAAAGCTCTTCAGAAGTGGTGAAATAAAAGAGACGGAATAAATTCTATGTTCTCATTTATTACGAAGGAGACGTTACTATCCTGTACTTAAAGAGGCTGTTTGGTTCGTAAAAAAAAGGCCCCGAAATCCATTTCCCTCCCCTGACATTGCGTCCACCTCAGACATTTCATTTTTTTTTGTGTTTCTTTGTGCGGGTTTGGTTTGCAGTGGGTTCTAGAGTTTCCAACAGCAGAAAACTCCACCTCAGCCAAGTCGCTCGTCGTGATTTCCTCCAAAAACGAGCGGAAAACCTAGGAAAACCCTCCTTTTGTGTCCTTGTGTCAGATCTGCAATATTTTCGGGAAATTTATTGGTTGGCTAGGGTTACCGCTAAGTCCCGCCATTCCTTCCCTGTTCGCGTGTCGGATCTACGAAAGCTAGGGATTTCGTCGGGTTTTTATCAGATTTTGTTAGATTTTGTCGGATTTAGTCGAATTTTCGTTGGATTTTTTGTCGGATTTGGGGAAATCACTGCCTTTCTGAGGGTATTTCGTCGGATTTTTGCTTGATTTGTCCAATTTCAGCAATTACAGATATACTTTCGCCATGTTATTCGCTTTGTTTATTTTCACTGCCTTTCTGATTTTTGCATGATTTTTGCTTGATTTATAATTTCGCCATGTGCTCGGGATTGTTGGTTGGTGTTGTTGGTTGGTTGGTGTTGTTGGATGGCTGATGGGTGTTTCCTGGTTCATTGGCTGGTTGGTGTTTCCTAATTGGTGGTTAGTGTTGTTGGTTGGTTGGTTGGTATTGTTGGATAGCTGCTGGGTGTTTCCCGTGGCTATTTTTTGTTTCTATGCTGATTCGAGCTTGTTTAGCTCTATGTTGTTGGGTTTTTGGTTGTTATTTGTGCTCGTCGTCGAGCTCCCGTGACTGTTTTTTGTTACAATGCTGATTCAAGCTTGTTTAGCTCTATGTTGTTGGGTTTTTGGTTGCTATTTGTGCTCGTCGCCGAGCTCCCGTGGTTGTTTTTTTGTTACTGTGCTGGTTCGAGCTTGTTTAGCTCTATGTTGTTGGGGTTTTTGGTTGCTATTTTTGCTCATCGTCGAGCTCCCGTGGCTGTTTTTTTTACTATGCTGATTCGATCTTGTTTAGCTCTATGTTTTGGTTGCTATTTGTGCTCGTCGTCGAGCTCCCGTGTTGGTATTTTCTCGTGTTCATGCAGTTTTGTTTAGGCTATGATGATTGTCAAAATTTCTGAGATTAATAACCTACAATATCTATTGATATTGCACTGGATGGCTAACAATAATGATATTGACCAGATTCTGAGCCTTCAGCCATTACGTACCGTAGGCTGTCTAAAGATTACTGCAGATAGCTGATTCTCACCAGTGTGAAAATAGAGAAGAAAGATGGTGGGCTCTAGAATCTTCATAAGGATTACAAACTGACGATCCTTACAGAACTTGAAAAAATAGATTACAATTGACGATCTCTTCAAGGCCAAACGCGAAGGTCCACCTTCACGTTTTTAATTCCAAACGCAGAGGTCATACTCGCGTCCCAACAACAAAACGCGGAGGTCATTCCCGCGTTTCAACAACAAAACACGGAGGTCATACTCGCGTCCCAACAACAAAACACGGAGGTTATTCCAGCGTTTCAACAACAAAACACGGAGGTCATTCCCGCGTTTCAACAACAACGCGGAGGTCATTCCTGCATTTCAAGATGAAGACACGTAGCTCATCTCCGAGTTCTAAGATCAAGACGCGGAGTTCACTATCGCGTTTTCAGCTCAATACGCGGAACTTACCACCGCATTCTAGGTTCAAGACGCGGAGCTCATTTCAGAACGCGAATCTCGTGTTTGACTGGTTCAAACATGACCTGAACGGTTTCAAAACCATTTCCACGAAATGAGGCCATTAAGCCCCCATTATGGAGAGATTTATGAGGTCGGTTACACCCCGTAAGCCCCCTTTATGGAGCAATTTAAGGGGGTTTGACCGTTTCAAAATGGTTTTCCACTTAATGGGAAATTAAGTCCCCATTAAGGAGTAATTTAAGAGGGACGGTTACACCCCTTAAACCCCTATAAATAGCTGAAAAATCAGCTCAAAAAGGGGTTCAGATCTTGGCTTGGGATCTTTGGATCAAATCTTTGAGAGACTTCGACAAGCCGGGGGTTCGGATCTTCTGCTGGAGCTTTTGGGGAGATCAGAAATTATCTTGGCGAAGGGAGAGATCTTGGGATCATCCTGGAGGATCGACTTTTGGGATTGCCTTGATTTTGGCTTTGAAGGTTGGCTTTTCGAAGCACTTTGATCGGCTCCAGTTTAACCTGCCTAGCAAGTTTATTTCGGCTAAAAGGGATTGGAATCCCTTTCTCAAATCAACTCTTTTGCAGAGTTTTCAACTTGTTCGTCAAGTTCTCCTAAACTCGTTCAGAGTTCTAAAACTTGCTTTGAAAGTTCATCCAAGACGTCGAGTCAAGAGGCGAAGACAACGTTCCACGAAGTGAAGTGCTCGGATCATCAACGGGATACAAGAGTCAAACTCCCATCGCCACCAAGAAGGACCCAGGTTTAAACAAATGAAAGTATCTTCGTCGATTCCTTCCTTCTTTTGTAAATCGGAAAACCAATATAGAAGAGTTGTAATTCTTTTTTCTATGTTAGTTAGAGAGAGAGATTATAGTGAGAGATTATATTCATTCTTTTCCTAAGTCAGTTAGGGAGATTAGTACGAATTTTATTCTCATTTCTTCTTCAATTTTCCCACAAACACTTACATGTTTGGTATTTGCAGGTTTGATGCGATTTGCTATGATATATACATATTTATGACTAATTAGGTTGTTTATATGTTTTTTAAAGGTTTTATAAAAATTTCTGGCTAATTCAAGTACGTATTTCATAAAATTATGAATAATCAGGGTATTACAAGTCTCGTTTATGTTTTCTTCAAAAACTGGTTTCGTATGAATTTTTTATCTCAAACATGTATATTTCAGGTCAAATGAGGTACATAGTTCATAACAATTGAATCATGTTATTCCATATTTCGTAGGATTTTTAAGGCAAATAGATATTTATAATGAATTCGGTAATTTACTATTTGTTCATGTTACTTTTGCACTTTTATTTTGTTAAGATTACTTCACATAACGATCACACATAAATTTGTCTTTAGTGGGGGGTAATCTTACCATGGTGACCATATACACTTTTCCTTAAGAAAACTGGGAATGTCAAATCAACAAAAGTTTTCTCTTTTTTTCCATACAAACCAAACACAAGAAAAGTCTATACATTGGTTTCCCATCTTATTTTATATGCGAACCAAACCAAAATAATCTATTTCTTGGAAAAGTTTGGAAAACTCAAAACTTGAGTTTCTTTACATGGAATTGCATTTCCCTATAACTAGGAAACGAACCAAACAATCCCTAAGTAGAATACAAATTAAACAAAGAAAACTCTAATGAGAAAAGGAAATGATAAAGAAAAGTACTAAGGGGCTGTTTGGTTCGTTTTCTAGATATAGGAAAATGCAATTCCATGTAAAGAAACATAAGTTTTGAGTTTTCCAAACTTTTCCAAGAAATAGATTGTTTTAGTTTGGTTTGCACATAATAAAAGGTGAGAAACTAATGTATTTACTTTTCTTGTGTTTGGTTCGCATGGAAAAAAAAGGAAAAACTTTAGTTGATTTGACATTTTCTACTTTTCTTGTGTCTGGTTGGTTATGAAGTTTGTAGGAAAAAATGTTTATGGTCACCATGGTAAGATTACCCCCACTATAGTTTATTTATTTGTGCTCATTATGTGAGGCAATATTAATCACATAAAAGTGTGAATGTAATATGAACAAATAATAATATCCTGAATTCATTATAAATTTCTGTTTGTATTAATGAAATCATACGAAACATGAAATAAATTATGAATCAAGTGCTATGTATTACGTACCTAATTTGACCTGAAATATACCTGTTCGAGATGAAAAAATTCACACGAAACCTGTTTTCCTATGTGAAAAAACAAGACCTGTAATAACACGATTATTCATAAATTTATGAAATACGTACCTGAGTTAGCCAAAAAATCTTATGAAACCTATAAAATTCAGATAAACAACATGAATAGCCATAAATATGTATATAACATAGCAAATCACATCAAACCTGTTAAATTATGCATGTTAATGAACTTTATATGCTAAAAATCATTTGAAAATACGTCTTGATATCATGTCAAATAAATCAACCATATGTATATGCGAATTATGGCTGAGGGCTCAGAATTTGGTCAATATCATTATTATTAGCCATCCAGTGCAATATCAACAGATATTGTAGGTTGCTAATCTCAGAAAAATTAACAATCATCATACCCTAAATTGAACACCCACAAACAATATCAAAATAATCAAATCCAGCCAAACACAACCTGGCTGAGCATAAAAACTGATCATATGTGCACAATTTAAGGTAACATGTGCACAAAACAGTCGACAAATAGTAAGTACAAAACTAAATAAACATGAACACAAATAGAACAACCAAGTGTCTGAACACAAACAACCCAGAAAAACAGTGCCTGAATACAAAATCTCACGAACACAAAACTGAGCACAAACACCTTATAAAACCTGAACACAAAGGAGGCTGCACAAAACATAACCAGGCTCACAACCAGGCCAACCAACAACTTCAACCAACCAACCAACCAACCAACCAACAACAC